GATGCCGAGCCCCGGGTGGTGGAGCAGTACGCCAGGGCCTACCTGTGGTACATTCTCACGGAGGTAGTGTTTCCGGACTGCTCCGAGAACTCTGTCCTATGGATGTATCTCGACTTCCTAAAGGACTGGGATGCGGGGTACAGCTGGGGGGCCGCCGGACTCGCCTACCTATATCGTTCGGTAAGTGAATATCACTTTCTTTCAAATATTAGATGTGTGTTGCTTTACATTTTGACATCTTATCACCTGAACATGGTTTGTAGCTTGACGACGCGACCCGGAGAGCGGAAGTCACGTCTGGTATGTGTGGATGTGTATGGGGCCTCTCCATTTGGATGTGGGAGCGAATCCCAGTGGGCCGTCCAGAGAAGTTGCGCTCGCGTGCATGGACGGACTATGGCGGAGATGGCGAAGATGATCGGAACCCGACCGTCGCATACGCTTGGGACGTGGTGCATGTCTACACGGGCGAATCGAAGGCCTTGTACAAGGTCTTCAGCAACGAGCTTGATGCTCTCACGCCTTTCCAGGTATAAGAATTACATTTTCACTTGAGCTTACCATTGTTTCGATAACACTTTCACTTGAGCCTAACATTGTTTGATTATAGGTTACTTGGCGGTCGTATAGTGATGATTGAGAGTTGGGGTTCGAGCTGAACAGCATGTGCAAGCAGGACCGGCTTCTCTTCCGGTGCATCGTGCCCATGATTTGTGTCTATGCCGTGGAGTACCACTTGCCACAGCGCGTTGCCGCACAATTTGGTAAGGTGCAACACACACCACCAACCGTCATCGTCCGCGATACCGGTGGCTACGACCTACACCTGTGAGTACCACAAGCCGTCCTCATCGATTCTAAGTTCTTATTTTTGATGTTTTACATTCATATAAGAAGGATGTTTTACATTCTTTCTTATGCATTACAGGATGAGCAGGCAGAAGAATCAATCAATCACGGATTGGGAAGCCGAAAATGCGAGATACGTGCATGAATGGAACGAGTGGAAAACACGCAAAGACACGGAGAGGAGAGTGATTGACTGGGACGACTACGAGGATCACATGTTGTGGTACGACGATGGCATCAAGCATCGTCTGCGTCTGAGGCCCCAATGGACGACAGCAGATGCCGAAGACCTGTTCGATGATGCCTCAGAGAATGAAGCCTACAACGAGAGCATCAGACAGCTTCAAGGCGGGTTTAGGGAGTACAGACCCCTCATGAACAGAGTGGTATGTTGTTTTTACCTCTTTCGAACCACAGCATGTGAAATCAGCTTTTCGTGCTATTGACTCATTTTATTACTTTGCAGTCTTCGGAGCTGAACAAAAGCATTTTTCATGCCTCTGATGCGCTTAGTGTTGTCCCTGGGACTCGAGCTAGTGAGAACAAGTTGAGGGAAACGATGAAGGTAATACGGAGTTCATTTTCGTTATCATTGGACATTCGAGAAGTTAACATATTCTTCCGTTTTCATTGCAGAAATACGTCAACAAAGCACGCCGGCTTGTGGGCCTACTTGGGTGTGCTACAAACACCGAGGATGTTTTTCCTCCTGCACCGATGTGTAGCCTCGCTTCATCGAGCCATGCAGCCTCGTCGTCTAGGGCGGCTCAAGATGACGAGGAGGAGAACGACGACGATGATGATGATGCAGAGGAAGAGGAAGAAGAGGGCGCAGAAGAAGAGGGCGTCGAAGAAGAACATGGTGAGGAAGAGGAAGAGCACGATGAGGATGAGGAGGAGGAGGAGTACGATGATGACGATGGACCTCCAGTAACTCAGCCAACCGAGCGTGAGAAGAGGAATATGCCAAAGAAGGACTGGCAGAGTCCATCCCCATTTCAGAAAGCACGTCCTGCGGCCCGCAAGAAGACAACGGCCAAGAAGCGATCCAAGGATAACGAGGACCAAAATTCGAAGAGGGGAAGGAAGGACTGAAGTTGCTGCCGTGTCGTTGAACTAAAAACTTGCATATTTGCTTCGTGAACCATATGAATTTGCTCGTGAAACTGTTTCGTTAAATTGCTATGTACCAAACCTACCTTATTTATAGATTTGTGGTGTGTGCATCATATATCATATATTGTGTGCTTTATATGTCATACATATGTTGTTTAAATGTTGTATGCCAAAAATTGAAGACAAAAGAAGTTAGAAGGTGCAAAAAATGCACACAAAGGCACCCTACCGCCATAGGGCGCGGCGGTAGCAGACCACAGCCTACCGCCATCAGACCCGACGGTAGGTGCCTCCCCCCACACCGATCTTCTGTGACCAAAAAATCGAGCAGCGCAGCGGTAGGGTTGCGCACCCTACCGCCAGGGAGCTTGGCGGTAGGACCGGCGGTAGGGTGCGCAACCCTACCGCTGCGCTGCTCGATTTTTTGGTCGCAGAAGATCGGCATGGGGGGAGGCACCTACCGTTGGTCTGATGGCGGTAGGTTGTGGTCTGCTACTACTGCGCCCTATGGCGGTAGGGTTTGGGCATTTATAAACCCAGCCGCCCGCCCACCCCACCAC